TCTCAACGAAATTTTAAAATTTCCCCTTGTTCTCACGTAACTAAGATTATGTATGTTATTCACATTTTCTTTAATAAATCATAAATTACACAACGTGTAGAGGTGGTTCTCGTCCCTTAAGTACCATGAACCTAATTTGGAATACAAATCAAGTTTCAAAGCATGTGGCTTAATCCAAATCTTGTCCTAATTATTAATAATTTAACTAGAGGAGTAATGCCTCATATTGGCACTTTGATATTGAAGGTCATGGACTCTAGCTCCTCTAATCGCATAGTTAAGGAATTTATATAACATTGAAGTTGCATTTGGTATTTAGCACTTTTTCAAGATCTGTCAACTCATTGGTGCTGTTTTCGCTTTTCAATTTGATTCCATCCAAGACAATGCAAGAATTTCTCTCAATTACGAAAATGAAAGGTCCAAAAGAAAAGAAATTTGAAAAAATATATATAATAATTCAGGAGTTGATCCATCTTTATCCTTATCTACCAAATATTTAGAAGAAATTGCCTTCCAGGGACCATGGAGTAGTTGTTCACATGTACAGTAATTGCCATAAAAATGAATTGCCCCACAGTCGGACAGTCCCAGCAGTGCACCTTTACTAATATCGCTTGGGGACACGTTTAGCATTTAGGGTTATTTTTATTTTTATTTTAATGTAATCGAAATAGTTCAAGTTTAACTCGCGAGAGAAAAAATAATAATAATAAAAGTTGGAGGTTACCAGTTTGAAATCCTTATAGACATTAAAATTGAGCCACTTTGACTAGAGGCCTTTCTTGCGAGAGCATTTCTTATAGATCGTAATTATCCACATCTTGTGGAATGTCTACTTTCTGCTTTATAGTTTATTAGAGTGATGGGTTCAATTTCCCCCACCCTCTACATAAAAAAAAAAAATAAAAATAAAAAAATATGGCAAACTCCCTTTCCTCCAAACTCTGTCGTGGATTCTATCTCTTATACTAGAGAATATTTTAAAAAGAAAAGGAAATCAAGGTGATTACAAAAAGGCAGAACATGTAGATTAGCCTCTCAAGTTTATAGGCAGTGGCAAAATAACCCCTCAAGTCAATCACGCGTAAATTAACCCTCCAACTTGTCTTTAGTGGCGAACAATCCCCTTTGTCCTTCTGTTTAACATGACGTAATGGGGAATCCGTTTAAATTTAATGCTGGGCTCATCACGATGAGCCCCACATCTGACTTGGAATTTTTTTTGCTAGGATGGACACTAGTTGTCATACAACTACAGTAAGGTGTTCGTTTACTTTTATGGCCTTATTGGGTGGATCAAATAAAATTGGAAATCTAGGGTTTTTTTTTGCATTGCAAGCTTGCAATGTCTTCCAAATGTCAAAAATTTGAACTCCAAATCCACCAACTTTTGTTCATCAAGTATATATGGCTTCTTCATCGAGCTCTCAATTGTTCGTTGTACTGCCTTGTTTCAAGGATAAAGGGAACACTAAGCAGGCATAATGAAGGATCTTTGCAAATGTGGGCAACCATATCCAGATTTGTTCCTATCCTTCATTAGAGGAGCCCAAGATCATACTATAAAACATCACCGCTTCATCTTATTATTTTCCCAAAGGATTCCTTTAAATCAAGATCCTTTGTGTTTGGTGAACAAAATGCAATGAAACAAAACTAATCTTTTTATTTCCAAATCCAACACAACACTCCTAGATGTTTTAAAACTTAATTAATTGAACCAAATCACTAGGGCACTATTGAAGCAGCAACGTTGCTATTCTTGGAGTTGCTAGTCTTGTTGTTGATCATACCCAAAAATGCCACCACCACACCATTGGAGCTGAGGAATTGTCTCCATCCCCAACCCGATTTGGAGTTTTTCCCCACTGTAGAACCCCTCTTGAAGAGCTCTCGATCTAGATGGAGAAAGAACAGGGAAGGAGAGGAAAAGAATTAGATGACCGGAGTCTTTTTTTTTTCTTTTTTTTTTAATGAAAAAAACTTTAATTCATTTTATTATTTTTAATTTAAATATTAGTTTTTTTTTATTATGAACCTATTAAATGATACTTAAATGTAAAAATAAGAACCATTATATTATTGTTGTATTTAAGTTCACTTCATCGCAATGTCAATGAGTCCATCTCAGCAACAAAATTTCCAACTCAAACGTTTAAGGTTGTCATGATAAGCTTAGCGTAAATTAATTGCATTTATGATGTCATTGTAAACAGAAGGCATTTTGCCATCCAAAACGATTTAGAGGGCTAATTTGCACGTGAATTGACTTGAGGAATTATTTTGCTATTGCTCAAAAAGTTGAAGGGTTGATATGCATGTTTTGCCTTATAAAAGCAAGCTCCTTGTGGGATTTTCATCCTCAGATCCTCATTGGATACTCGGATTGTATTTGTATTATCACCATTTTATATTTTACGGATATGATAGCATCTTGTTCATGGTGCAGACAGATTTGTTGCATTTTATTTTTCAACAATGAAATTATGGATTTCGGGAATAAAATACTACTTAAATTTTTGTATACCTAACAAACAGTATTCGTGGCGGCTTGGCAAAGTGATGCAATGAATCCAGTCCCATGTGGCTTTCAAAATAAATAAGTAAATAAAGGTGGCAAATTATTGCATTTGTGTGCTTATCTTCTCTTCTTTCTAAACCAAATTAATTAAGGTATATATTATATCCATATTTTTTGATTTAGGGACAAATGTTTTTGGATTATCTTTTGTGTATTTTAAAATTAGATTTTTAGGCAATTTTAATTTTAAAAGTGCATTTTTATGTTAATCTAATTTATTTAAAAAAATTAATTTCAAGATTTTAACTCTAAACTTAAATTATAAAAAAATGATTTATTAATAGATTTAATTCTTACCAAAACATAGTATTATATTCAATTTTTGGGCTTTAGAGAAAGCAGAAATTAATTAATTAGAGGGGCTGGAAAAGTTGACATTTGAGTTCATCTGTAACATTTATTTATTCATGCCTGAGTTTGAGGTTTTTTGATTAATTAAATAATAAGCTTCCTTTACATAAAAAAAATGTTAATTAATAAGAAAAACTAGAGATAAAAAATGCACCTAGAGCAAAAGCATATCTGATTATGATCATACGATCATATATATAGCTTAATTTAAAATGAAATTTGGAGTTTTTAAGAGTTAATATTAAATGATTTAGACATTCAGTCTTGGCTAACTCTTTTCTTTGTCATTTTTTTGTGAAACAAGTCGTACAACTTTTCTTTTCTTTTTTTCTTTTTTTTTTTTCTTTGTTCAAGGTTGTACAACTTTTCTAAAAGATATCATTCTACGACTTCTCAGGTTGAGATTATAGTTACCACTAACAAAATTATTAATTTTATTTGTAATTTTATTAATTTAATTTTTTAAAATAATTAATTATGATATTTAAAAATATTTATTTATAAATTAATTTTAATTTATTAAATAATAAATATTAATTATTTTATTAATTATTAAATATTTTTAACAATTAAATTAAATTTTTTTTTGACAATTTTAACACTAATAAAATTAATAGTGACAATAATTATAACCCGACTATCTTAAAATGCTTTTCAAGGATTCTAAAAAGCGAACACGCCCCTAGGGGACCAACGGTAAACGGTCATGTTAACCGGTTACAGTAATTCCACTACGGCGGTCAAACCGTCAACGACTCAATCATTAGATTCCAGGTTGCCTCCGTCAACGCCGGCGAGAGAACGCCGTTATGCGTCCTAACTACCAAACGCATATAGTGACGTGGAAGGACATAATCCGTCGATATGTTAAGCCTGTCGCAGACCGTAAGATTGTTGGTGCACGCGTGGGGGTGACGAGTGATGACTGCTTATAATTACGAAAAGATACAGGCGTGGTAATACAAAGATTCACTCCGACAATTTACTGAGCAGCTTCGGTAGAAACAATGAGTTAAAATATGCCAAATTCCCTTCCCCCCCGCTCCCCTGCAAATTGACTGCTCTGCGTCAACTTTTCAACAATTTTTTCCACTAAAAAAAAAAAAAAAACCTTTTCAACAATTTTCCCAAATTTCAAAGAAAGCTAAGTTCATCATCATGTCCTGTACCCATCAATTTGCACATATAGACAATAAACATGTGATTTACATGGCTATGCTTACGGCCACAGGGAGCATTTCTTATGGTTATTTGATTTCTATTAGTTAATAATTTTTTAAAATAAATAATCACAATATTTAACAGCCAACCGGACTGTGGCCCAATTGGTTGGTCCCCAAGCTTTAGGGTTTGGGTGAGGCGGAGGTTAGAGTTTCGAGCTCTGCCATCGCCGTGAATTCCACCAATTTGCGACCTAATGGTCGCGCGCTTTAAATGAGGGGTGGAACATTCACTTTCCTGAAAAAATTTCAGCTGCTAACAAACTAATTCTACTAACTTCCTAATCATCTACCTGGTCAAAAAAAAATCACAATATTTAACAATATTTATTTATAAATTAATTTTAATAGATTAAATAATAA